AAATTTCATTTTTAATTAAATCCAAAATAGCAAATACAATACATACAAATTCTGTAAGCTGTTTGGATGGAACAAATAGTCCACCACGTGACAAGAGAATTATTTTCAAGATCAATGGTTCCAAATTTGAAACATGCTTTGCAATTTTCATATTTAGACCTTTTTGACAATTTCTTTGCAACATAGCCTGCTATAGTTATTGCCGCTTCTTGACTATTATAATCAAGGCAACTTTCCATAATTTCTTCACTTTGATTTTCAAGCAGTTTACCAAGTATTGTCAAGGATGAATATTTAGTAATAGATTTTCTTTGCAGAGGTTTATATGCTGCTAAATTAAAGAACGACATGACGAAATTCTTTCTGAATTTAAAACTTCTCTTAAATTTACAAGAAATCTTTTCCAGCTCACTTGCCTGTTTGTGAGAAACGTTTCTCAATTGGATCACTTTGTAAACAAGCTGTCATCACGTAATCATATCCATCATTCAGGAGCTTCTCAACAAGCAGTGCATGAGCACGTAAAATATTTAAAATGCTGATGCAGTTTGAGTTGTGAGGGTAAATGCAGTTGAACGAGACCACTGATTGATCCAATCTCACAGAGCTTGGTAAAATATCATTTCTTTGTTGAGCTTTATTTAGTAAAGATATTGATGGTAAAGGAAACTTTTTATGTATATCGTAAAAGTAGTGCATATCAAATTATCTATGCTGAGTATAGTAGCCTGCCATGCGGCTGTTAAATCTCTTTATCTTTACTTTCATCGATAATAGTGTCATAATTTTTAAATGTGTATTTTTTCATATAAGAAGAAAAATTTTCTAGCATACTAATTTTATTAAGTTTTGCATTATGTCCTTTAAAAAACCAACTTGGTAATGGAAGTGGTGTTTCTATGTATTACAAATTTTTTTTTATTGTTTTTTTGTTATTTAGGGGGCCCAAGAAGACCTAACGGTCTTGTTATAGGGGATCGCGGAAGTGCATTTAACCAGGAAGTTCACGCCTCCTTCCTTACGGCGAAATTATATCCAAAGCTCTTTTCGAACTTGGAACTCCTGCTTACAATGCCAGCGCTCTAACCACTGCGCCACGGCCGCAGAAATGTACATTTAGGTCTACATCAACTGTTATTGATTCTAATATAGTTGGAAAATATGTCTGTTTATAAAATACTATATTATAAAATACAAAACCTTTTTCAAATCGTTTAAATTGAAACTCTGGTAGTGCTACTGATTCATTCAAATTATGTATATTTGTAATTGTTTTATTTTTCTTAAATATTTCTGACAAATTTTTTTTTAATTTTATTCTCAATTTAGGAAGATTTTGAGTAGTTTTTAAAACTGATAAAGATAATTTTTTTTGCAAAAATTTTCAAGAATACTTAGAAGGAACATGCCAATTCAGGGTGAATTTATCACCTATAGTTATATAATTATCTTCAACAGAATGTTTTGTTGGAGTCTAGTTTGAGCGATTAACAAGTTGTATTCAAAGTCGATTAAAGTTTTGGTCTATTAGATAATGAAAAGGTGCAAATTGTTTGTGCTTAGTATCCTGATGTACATTTGGTGCAGCTCATTTGCTGACCATATTTAATATAAGTTCTTTAAAAGTTAGTATATTAAGAAAAAATGTTTTTAAAAAATAATATTTTAGCGTATTTTATGTCTAAAAATGTAAAACCTGTCTCTTAATTTCCCTCTCAAAAATCTAAGATATATGGCCGTGAATATAATAGGCCATGAGTGTTCTCTATTTTTAGATTCCATTTCACACCCGAAAGCTAAGGAAGATGTGTTAGGTATACATTAGATTATTAAGCAATGAGTTAACTGAGTTGTTATATTTAAAATGCATAATTTCATAAAAAATAGAGGCTGTAATTCTTCCTGCACTCTGAATTTTCCATTTACTGAATAAACTTTGCAGTTTAGAAATTTCAGACAAAAAATAAAACGAACTTGAGATGTATGTTGATTTTTATTCTTTGTATCTTGAAAAATATATTTATTTAAATTAGAATCATCTAAATTGACTGATGTATATTCAAACAGACATATAAAAGATTCAGGACATTTTTTCTGTTTCATCATATGTCAATATACCGTCAATATCATAACATACTTCGAAGACATCTATTTAACTTTATCTAGACAAAAAAAAAAAAAAAAAATGGATTCTTCTGCATTGACGGAATAATTTTTTACAGTTCTTTTAGCTGATGTTATTACTTTGTATGTATATATATATATATATTTAAATCCAATTTATTTATAAAATGATCATAATTTAAAATTCTTTATAAAATGTCGCTTCTTTTAAGACCCAAAATGATATACTTTTGAAAAACTTTTTTTTTTAAATAATATTAGAGGCCGTCAAATGTTCATTAGACTTGAGCTACCCCTAAAAATATTTCTGCGTGTGAGCGTGTGTGTTAAAAATATTTCTGCGTGTGAGCGTGTGTGTTAAATAATTAATTCTAAGTCTGCTTTATCATGCAGTTACAAATGCCAGTTAAACATCCATTTATTTTATGAAGAACAACCTAAACTTTGCAGAGTTTTTAGTTCTGTCTATATTATTGGCTAGGAAGAACCTAAAAATAAAAAAAAGTAACTTTTTATGTGTATTTTAAAATAACTATTAAAGTTATTTTAAAATACACATAAAAAGTTACTTTAAATAAAATATGTATTTTAAAAGTTACTTTAAATAAAATATGTATTTAAACAACACATTCTTATTATTTTCCATTTTTTACTGTACATTTAATAATAAAATAAAGTGTTTTTAAAAGTTTAAAATGATGCAATTTGATTTAAATAAGTTTTGTGTATCTTTGTTTTTAAAAAACAGACTTCACAATCTTTTGCAACTTCGTAGTAATAAATATCATTAACGCGTCCACTCACAAAAATATTATAAGCCTCGAGAAACTTAGAAGCTATAAGTTTTTCATAAATGTACTCACTTGTAGAATTAATAAGGTAGTTACAAGATCCACTTTCTAAGATGTTACAACATCCACTTTCTTGAGAGCAAGTTGATATTGTAATATCAACAAGCAATGAGGTTTTTATCTATGCATATGATGAAACTATTGCTAAGAAAGGGGAACTTCTTTTCTTTTTCATTTTGTAATAAATTATTTAAATAAAAATATCAGACTTTTGAAATTATTTTGTGATTCACGTGCGGGACAAAATAAAAAATACAATACGATTTTTTTTTTAATTTCTTAGTTATTCAAAGTATAAGGTTTGATTTAATCACAATATCGTTTCCCAAAAGACGCCATTCATATCTTAAATGTGATAAAGATATAAGTTTTTTTATTTGCAAGGAACATGCAACCACACCTTGAGATTGTTATAAAATATCCAGAGCTGCCAGAAAAAAACCACATCCCTACAATGTCATTAAGTTAAAGTAAGATATGACAAAAAATATAACTCAGTTTTTAAAACATGTCTATAAAGCAGGTGATCTCTTAAAGAAGTTTTATTCTCAAGCAAATAACCTGGAGTAATGAGCTTGCAAGTTCTTTTCGTCAAACTGCTTGTTTTATTTGGTCAATTAATTGATTAAAGTTGAGCATTATTGGTTGCAAACTTTCTTTCTCAATCTTTATAGCAATTGCAACTTTATAAACACTGGAATTCTCATGCTCCTAATGTTGCAGATTCGCAGATTCTAACTCATTTCCCAACTCAATGCTTGAACACTCCTCCATAAAAACATAAATCATAAATTTTTAAAAGTTTAATAAAAGACTTTTATTCGATCATAAAACTAAATTTATTTAACCAAGCCTTAATATAAGTTCATCCGCTACTGTCACAGTTTTTTTTTTTTTAATCAATTTCTCATGTTTCCTCTTTTCCGTTAGAATTTCATCATTTTTTGCATAGAACTCCTGTTTTCCTGTAATGTGTATTTTTTTGACCGCCTCAATCAACTTTATCCTAATTCTGGTGTTCACAGTCAGTTCTTTGGCACCACATCAGTTCAGTCCAGTTGTTATTTTTTTTTCAGCAAAGTAGTAATTTTGAACTGATAAGGTGATGCTGCTGCTCCGATAATTCTATATATATACTTTTTTCTTTTTAGAGTACTAAGAAATGCAAAATTGAACTCAAATAATCCTCAATAATAATCGCTACTCGAAAATAATCATTGGAAATGAAAATGATGAATCAAGAAACTGATGAAATGAAAAAATAGTTATTTTATATCTGTATATTAACAATGTTTTCCTTTTTTATTTTCTCTTTTTATCGAAAGTAAAAATACTAACTTAAAAAACAACTGCATTCTTGCAAAACATAAAAAACATGAAACATATATAAAGAGTGAAAGCATAATAAAAAATATGATGTGGTCGGTATCGAACTCGGAACTTCTCGTTTATGAAGATAGCGCTCTACCACTACACCACAACCTCAGTTTATCTGAGAGATTTCTCATTTATCTGAGAAATTTCTCATTTATCTGAGATGTTTCTCATTTATCTGATATGTTTCTCATTTATCTGAGATGTTCATATATAAGTCCTTCATATATAATAAGGTAAATTTTGATAAATACGGACGCCAATTAAGTTTGCTGTCCCAGGCGGCGTGACAGCTCTCGGCGGCCCAGAGTATTATTTCAAGTAAACAAAAATCTTTTCAAAATGAATATTTATGTCAATATATGTTGCCAAAAAAAGCATTTTTTAAAGCATATTTCAAAAACAATAAAAGCTTGTAATGAAGATATGTAATGAAGATTACCGTTTTCATTGGCAAAGTTTATAAAAAAAATTAAATTTTATATAATCTTGTAATTGAACAACATATTGCTTCGATTACTTGAAACTTATTTTACGTTAAAAATACTGAAACAAATTTTTAGCAAAAAAAGCAATAGATTGCTTAATACATACATTGCTTGATTTATTAACTCAAATGGATCGGGATGAAAATCTAAAATCACGATGAAATCATTTTTACTATAAATACTTATCAAAATTTTATACATATTTATTTGAAAATTTATGCTTCCCGATCCTGCTTTCTTTTCTCTGTAGAGTTAATTTCATTTTTAACAAAAGCCTCGTTTTCATAACCGTTATCGCAACTTTTTATATTAGTCATTAAAATTCCAGATTCACATCCGGATTGATTACTGGAGACGTTTGCATCTTTTGGTTGTTTAATTAAAATCTTTTTTCTTTTCAACAAAAACATATAACCCGATACAGAAAATATTGCTATAAGTAAAACCGAAAAAACAATGATAATAACCAGTGTTGTGTCAGATAGGTCTTTTAACTTCTTAGTATCTTCGTTTTTAACTAAATACAAATATAAAATTAATAAAAAATTCATAAACACAAAACAGCTATAAAATTAAAAAACTCACTTTTTATTCTGCAAATTAAACCATCGATTTGTTCGGCACATCTAAAAAACCAAAAACTCAATTCTTTTAAAAAGAACAGAAAAAGTATGAAAAAATATTTCTTTTATATAGCTTTTATAACTAGATAAACACTACACTACCCACAATGTATAAAAGATAATTTATAAAGTCATCTAAATCTATTATCTATATCTAGCTTTACAGAAAAGTATAGCAAAAAAACTAAAGAGAGACAAAAAACATAACTTAAATAAAGTATCGAGCTTACAGTTCTCCTGTGCAACCGTTGGGACATTGACAAATCGATGAATTAATGTTGCCAGGGTCTCCTTGCCAGATGCAAATTCCGCCATTTTTTCCTTCGCAAGCACATTGCTTTGTTTCCACTTCAAACTTAGAAAAAGCAGACAAACCACATGGATCAGTCACTTTAACTGTAAATATAAAACTTCCAATTCTATTAGGATTCCAAGTTAAAATTCCAGCAGTTGATATTTTCATTCCATGACTTTCACCTTCAAATTTATATAATAAAGGTTGATTTTCAGGATCATAAGCTGGTATATCATATATCCATTGTTGCCCTTTAAAAGCGTATTGCTTTGTTATAACTTTCTTAAACCATGGAGCAATGTTATCTTAGAATAAAAAATAACTAAATTTTCAGAAACTAAAGAACGGACAATTACAAATAGTTACAACCATATATATAATATATATATATATATATATATATATATATATATATATATATATATATATATATATATATATATATATATATATATATATATATATATATATATATATATATATATATAAATATATATATATATATATATATATATATATATATATATATAATTATATATATATATATATATATATATATATATATATATATATATATATATAACGTAATTTATTTTATTATCTGTATCTCTTTAATGATGAATTATATCAAAGCTTTATAAGCTTGTTTAACGAGATAAAGTAAAAATTGACTATATAATGCTTACTACTAAAAGTTTCATGTGTTAGAAATCATCAGGTAAAAAATACATTATATCATTTCGTTATAAATATTTTCTTATTATACAAAAATATAAAGAAACAAAAAAAAAAACAAAAAAAAAAAAAAACGCGCAGAAACGATTACAAAGCCTTATTGTTCGCAAGCTTCCTACAACCCTTCGGTTCCTAATCTTCGGTTTGGTGGTTATCAAGCAAAAACTTCGTGACGACACTTTGTCAAGCAAAGTGGTTGTCAAGCAAAGTCTTCGTGACGACACTTTGGTATTATTTCAGATTTTTTATTTAGCAATTCTTTTTTTTTGTTGGTTTTGTTGTTTGTTTAGCAAACCATTGTATAAAATTACTAAAAGTTTTTCGTGGAGGTAAAGTAATCATTTTTATCTGACGTTATTGTAAGCAGGAACTTTTTTAATTATTAACCATGTTAGTTTGGCTGTTACTTTGAGGTTTTCTTTCATTTGCCATATGTATTTGGAAAAGGTGGTTAAATTTTTCAGTTTTTTATTTGTGAAGGAGTGTATGCGGTCGGCCCATCGTTTCTTCCATTCGCTTTTGATAAGCCAATATATACTTTTTTTGGAATGTTAGGGGGTAATATACATTTATAAATAACATTTGAGATTCTACATTTTCCTTTTATTGGGCAGTTTTTTTTTGTTTATGCAATTGTATGGTGGGTGTTTATTTGAATTTTTAGATAAAATGTTTTTGTTGTGATTTTTTATTATTGTCAATATTTTTGGTGCAGCTGTAACGTTTGTTTTTGTTTCGATTAAATAACTAATATAGGAGATGGGATATTGGAAAATGTTTGTCAATTAATTTTAGAAAGTTATGTCCAACATTGGTAGAAACGCTTTTAGTGTATGGGGGTTAAACCATATAAAGAGGAAAAAGAAAAAGATACAACTTTTTTTTTAATATTAACAAATAATATCAACCTCCCAACGATAAAAGCGTTTCTATCAATCTTAAACAAATCTTCCTACACCCTAATAAAGTTATTCAATGATGGAAAAATGGAATTTGATGGGAAAGTAGCAATAAAGAAATTAGATATTATAGCAACTTAATAAGGTAATATATATCATAAGATGTATATTGTTTTTTATAGAGTTATTTATTATTACAAATTATTATTAAAAAAAGTAAAAGTTTTAACAGTAATAAAACTATAATTAGTTTCACTACTATTATTAAGTTAATAACTATGTTGATTACATAATACTATTCTTAGTTTTACTAATAATACTATGTTGATTATATAACACAATACTTAGTTTTACTAATAATACTATGTTGATTACATAACACAATACTTAGTTTTAATAACAATAATATGTTGATTACATAACTCTATTCTTAGTTTTACTAATAATAATATTTTGATTACATTACACTATTCTTAGTTTTACTAATAATACTATGTTGATTACATAACACTATATTTAGTTTTACTAATAATTTTATGTTGATTACATAACACTATACTTAGTTTTACTAATAATACTATGTTGATTACATAATACTATCCTTAGTTTCACTACTATTACTATGTTGATTACTACTGCTGATTACGTAAATCTATACTCACTTTTATTTTAAATTAGTTAATTTAAGGATTAGATTTATTAATTTTAACTTATATTTGTATACTATATTAAAACTTATATTTGCTGATTTTTAAAAATTTTAAGATCAATGTGTTGCAAATAGAGTTAAATACTTTATGATTATTTCAAAAAAATAATATTTGACTTGTATAATTTCAGCATTGATGTGAGTTTTTGGAACTTTTAAAATTTATTATTAAAAGTATTGTCTTCATTGCGAACATCCTTTCTTCTTTATCGTTGCTACAAAGTAGTGCTTGGATTCACTGTGAGCATTCCAGGCATTGCAAAAAACATAGAATAAAACTGTTTTTCAAATAATGAAGTTCATTTTCTGACAAGGTTTGGCTGTATGGTATGATCCTTAAGTCTATTTTTGTTTTTCCTAAACATTTTTTTTTAATAAAATTATCCATACACAAATTAAAACAATGATTATTAAACTAAATATAAAATTTTTTTACTTTAATTTCAAACCATAATACAGAGTACAAACCAACACAGAACTTAAATTTCTTTTAAATCATATGGAACTATTTTATCTTTAAAGCTTTTTTCATTTTTCAAAGTACCTTCATCATCACTTTCAATTTAGAGTGTTTAATTTTCTTATGATCTGTCATTGTTTTATTGTCAGTCACATTCTTTTTACGAAAGCCTGCCTTTAAAACCTTGAGCACTTATTTGAATACAGCTTTTTGTTCCAAATTTTTCTCTTTGAGATAAATTCCTAGAATAGAACCTTATTTTATAAATTGAAGTTCTATTCTAAGAATTTGTTTTCTATTTTGCATTTACAAGAAATATGAAATGTTTCTTGTAAATACATAACATACATACTTTAAAAACACAAGAATTACAACTTACCTTTCCACAAGAAGCAATGTCACACTTACATTTTGCTATATTAAATACCTTATCCAGAGTAGATTTGAAACTTGATAAAAAATGATAACAGGGTTACTACTGAAGTTAACAACATCAGTTTTTTTAAAACTCTAACAAATTTATTTATATCGACTTTGTCCACTATAAAAGAAATTTCATGATTGGCTTTCAACCATTGTGTTTTTGAAAATAAAAATACATGCATAAATGAAAACATTTATGCATGTATCTTTGAGTTTTGCATTTGCTTTACAGTTATCATCTCTTCTTAGAAGCAGACCGTATTTAAATACATCTTTTAATTGTAACTCAGTATCTAAAAATTCACTTGCAAAACCAATCATAACACTTAACTTGTAACTTTGACTCTTTTTACATGTTTATTTAGCCATCAATCAAAATGTTTTTAAAAACATTTTAAATATTTTTAAAATTATTCTGAATGTTTTTATCTTATTTTTAAAATAAAAATATTTTGATTGTTTTTATTTTTATTGGAGTTTTATTGGATTTTTATTGAGCGGAGTGTTGCTACATCGACTATCTTTTGACCTGACTCACAACAGAGTGCTGCTACATCGACTGACTAATAGCCTGACTTACAACAGAATGCTACTAGATGGAGTGAGGGTTTGGTTTATATATATATATATATATATATATATATATATATATATATATATATATATATATATATATATATATATATATATATATATATATATATATATATATATATATATATATATATGTATGCATATATACATATGTATACATATATGTACTACTAAAATACTTTATACAAAGACCATTATTTCTGCACTTACTTGTTCTTTCTGAAAACGATGTTCGACTTTTTACTGGATTACAAACCTCACACCATTGTTTTGGATTAGGATCGTTTGTGGCAAAACAATACTCATTAATTTTGCAACTGTTATCCTGAATAATAATGTGATATAAACAAATGTTTATAATAAATTATCTTATTTTAAAAGAAAAACAGAAAAAGAATAAAGATTACTCAAATTTAAGAACAAACCAAGGAAATGCTTATACATGTTTTTTGATAATTTTTTTACTTTTTACTTTTTAATTATCTTCATAAATGAAAAGAATTTTATATAAAACAATTACTTTAATCACTACCACGTACTGATAGCAAAACTTACTTTATTAGAAATTGACAATTTTTTATTAACTTTTTTATAGGTCTATTTGTAATTTGATTAACAAATTTTCAAAAAACATAACTTTATTACTTAAGGACAAAAAAATTCATAAATATATATATTCTTATTAACATTTATTTTTAATATGTATTAAAGAAGTGTTTTTTATTATTAAAAACATTTACATGAAACCTGTCTCCATTCGTGAAATTGCAATCTCAGAGCTATAAAGCAATTCATAGAAAGGTTTAAAATGTTTTGAAGAAAATTTTTACTTAGGTTAAAAACTCAAAAAAAAGGGTACTCCAAAGATATTTAACCACTTGTGGATAAAACAACGCATGATTTTAGCCACATTTATCATAAATTTAAAGTTAAATATAATATAAATTTAAAGTTAAATAAAATACAAATTTAAAGTTTAATTTAGTATAAATACAAAGTTAAATATAATAAATTTATTAAAAGTTTAAAGAATGGCATTCATTCATCCATTCTTTTTCAACTGAATTAATTTAATATTACAAGTAATTATTTTTACTACTTTAAAAACAGTAAAAATAAACAATTGCAATTACCTAAATTAAAAATTTCAAGATTTTATATTGTTGAAAGAAAACAATTTAATTGAGCCCTGTAGTGTATGTCAGATTATCTTTCAATACTGATCTCTAAAAAACTTATATACAATCGAATGAAAAAATATGCATCAAAGGGCTAGACAGAGATGTCAAGCCAAGGAAAAAATTAGGAAGAGAGAAAGGATAAAAAATTAAAAGTATATATTGAATAGATGTTCAGAACAAAACAAAGACACTATAGTAAAGCGCGTAGTAAAAAATAATAATGATAATTTAGACACACACATGTAATAGAAATTTAATAAAAACAAAGTATTTAATAAATAATATTTTAATAAATTTCTAAGTGCAACGTGCAAAAATGATCAAAGAAACTTTTAATCCAAGGTCTCATACTATCCTATACTCCTATACTCATTGTATGTTAATTTTAATATATATTAGAATAAATAATGAGACATTTAAAAGAATAACAAATTAAGCATTAAAAAATATTTATATAATTAGACATAAAAATAAAAATTAAAAATAAGAAATAAATAGTTCAAAAAAAAATGAAAGTTAAAATATTTAAATTTGAATTTGTAGCAATATTCCTACTTCTATTCTTTAACAACATTAAAAACTTAAGTATCTCTTGTTTGTTTTACAAACTTAAGTATCTCTCTTTGTTCACATTAAAACTATTAATATGAACAGGTATCAGGAAAAAAAAGTTATCCTACAAAATATATTCTCCTTAAATTTAAATATTTTCCAAAAAATATTTTCTATGCAAATATATTTGTATTTTTCAGAAGAAATATATTCGACACAAATATATTTATATTTTTCAAAAGAAATATATTTTCTATCAACAATAGTCAAGAAATACCTTCCATTTACATGTTGTGTCTGTGATGTTACATTCCATGCACTTAGAGTCATATACAAGAAGTAATGTTTCATTATCGCTGAAGTTCAGGTTATTGTTTGACACACTGATTAAATAACCTCCTACAGGTTTTCCAGGTCGGATAGAAGAGTATTTAATATTAACTGGCACTGTTGGTAGCAAGCAACTTATTTCAGCAAAGCTTAGAAGCTGTCCTTGGTTATCCAGAGGTTTTCCTATTTTTATAAACGGTTTTTCAGAAATCTATAAAAAAATATTTATTTTATATAAAAACTTGATAAGCTATTTCAAACATATTATGAAATAATTTGCAAAATAAAAATGATTTGTAAACGCTTGGCATAGCTGCATAAAAGTATGATATTTAGAAGAGTTTCATAAAAATACGATGCTAAGAAGAATGGTATAAAAATATAACACTTAAATTTCATTAAAATGTAACATTTTGATAAGTGGCATAAAAATATGAAAATAACGTATTTCATAAAAGTATAAAATAAATGTACCTAAAAATTAATTATACATCTTACTAAAAAAAACTTAAAATTGAGGCATAAAATATTACATTTTAGGTAAGTGCAAAATTATGACACCTAAAACCATGTGCTAGAAACGTTATAATTGAAACTGGTACCAAAATATGACATTTAGAGAACTATTATATTAATCAAAATGTAGAAACTAAAACCATAATTTACCTTTACTTCTGTCATCCTACAGGATAAAGAACTGGAATCAATGAAGTCTTTTCCTATGACACGAGTACGAATGCAATCTTTATCCCTGACGTCACATAGCCCAGAGTTTGGTATGCCATATAATACAGGAGATTGTCCTAACAAATCATATACATATATAATGTTTACATGTATAAATATGCACACATATACTTAA